GTTAGAGCATAAAAAATTAGAAATAAAGAAAAAACTGAGCTCGCAAGGTTGAAAACCCTAAAGGGCGACTTTAGCAAAAGTTAGAGTGCAAAAGGAGAGAGTTAATACTCGAGTGAACCTGAACTGAACTACGTAAGGCCTGATTCCCATCTTTGGGATACGTAGGCAACTTCATCCTGAAGTTCGGCCGTAATCACCTCCAACTCAACTGTTTTGTCCATGTATCTGATCAGGTCATCTTTGTCTGTCCATTATCTAAGAGTTCTGTTGTGATCTTTATTCTAGGAAGCAGAGCTGGTTACAAGAGTGGTAGTGGTATTCAAGTAAGGACAGTTATGATCTTTTGATTCTGGATTGTACATCTCAAGGATTGATTCTGTGCGTGTCAGGTGGTGATCACTTTCAAAAATGGTTTTGGAAAGTTTTAATAAAAGTTGATTTTGTTCAAAATTTTACCCTTTACAACTTAGACCATTTTTGGACCAAAAGGAAAATTTTTAGTGCTCACAACTTTAATTCCATTGATTTCAACATAAAGTTCTCTAACTCTCTGATAAAAATCAAAGTTGTTTTTCCATCATAAAACTTGAAAAGAAAGGTCAAAGCAATAAACTAGGGGCATAGGTGAGTCAGGAGCTCTTGCGTCCTCCACTCATGCTTACGGAAGCTTCTAAAGCCAAAGTGGGCCCAGTTTGTGCCTCATCCTCAAGCCAAGCTGAGCACTCAACAAAAAGGGCATAACTGGAACTAGGGGCAGGGGCCAGAAACTCTCTCATCCTCTAAGCAGTAAGGTACCTAGCCTAAGTGTGAAGCCTGAATCGAGAATGAAGCCAGGTATTCTAGCCCCTCTTCTGGGTAGGTTTGATCATGCCCAAACTGGCATCTGAACCGGAAAGGAAAGTAGAACAAAGCTTGGGCGTGTCCAAAATGGGGCTGAGGCATGATTTCCTCATCACGCCGGGTTTCCATTAATGCCTGAAATTCTTCAAAAGTCGGGCACATTTCTTGTGATCCGAAGTGAAACACATGCGTAATCGGGGTCCTAGCGTCGGGCCACGGCATGGAGAAACTAAAAGCAAAGTGGAGTATGGCTCAACGAAAAACGTGCATTTGTGCCAAAACCCAGAAATTTACCTTTTTCGTGCTGTCTAAAGTGGCTATCCAACCCGTGAGCTTCTCGACAAGGAATATCTCCATTTGTGCAAAAAATAGTAGCTAAAATGAGGTCCTGAAGAAGAAATCACAAAGGAGGACCTTTCGTAGAAGATAAGGCTGTAGTAGAGGCCAGCTGTCAGCATTTTGGTGGTTCTGCACATTTGTGGCTGGCAAGCCACCTCCTCTAGCCAGCAACCCCCTTTTGTGGCCGGCAGCCCCTCTTTCTAGCCTGTCGTCCACTTGTGTGCTGGGCAGTGTGGGCAGCCTGATTTTTGTCTTGATCTTTTATTTTGAGGTCTTGTTTTAAGTCTTTTGGTTTTAGCAAATGTAAATATTTGTATTTGAGTTATTTTTGCTTTGCTTATCGAGTTGTATTTTGTATTGTTGGTTGTCTCATTACCCAATGAAGAACATTGTTTCAATCAAGCGTTCTCGGTGCAAATTCATTCCATTTTCATTTTTCATGTAAATATGGTGCTCATGATGCAAAAATGATAACACTTTTTCATAAAAATTGTGAGGTTTTATTCCGATCATGGTTTTCTCAAAAGAGGAGTACAAGTTTCAAAAGCAAAAATAAAACCTATCTGAAGCTATACATGTGCTAATGTTACCAAGCAATAAAAGAAACTAAGCAAAAAGTACAAAAAATCGGCACCAGTCATTTCAAGCTCGAAAGGCCCTCTTCGTCCTCTTCTTCGGGGGGGACTCGAGGGCACTATTTTCATCAGCATCGCTGTCAGAATCAGACTCTGAACCAAAGCTAGTATCATCTCTACTCCTTGCCTTAGAGCCCGCCTTGGTGTCATTCTCACTCTCAGGCCCCGAGCCAGTATCAGCATCTCCACTCTCAGATGATTCAGAATGTCGACTCGTTAAGGACTGCTCTAGCCCCGAGCACCCCTATTCCTGCCTCGACCTCGGTGCACGTCTCGGCCATAAGTTAAGGCCTGCCTCTTTCTCCTCCCTACTGCTGGAGGAGGTGTTGCCGGTGTCGTTGCTATTGCTGGCACTAGTACCCTTGGAACCTGAAAAAAATAGTTGTCAACCTGTCAGCTACAATTTGTGTATCAGATACAGGCATAGTATGCAGAATGAGCGTCACGCAGAAACCAGATGTAGTATGAGTACAGTGTGTGAGTGCAGTGTGCCAATGTAGTGTATCAGTGCAGTTTGGGAAAGACTACGGTTAAAGTGCCAATGTATCAGTGAAAATATGATAGTGTGGTGCACGACAGAGTTAGTAATGAAAGGCATGCTAAAATGAAGGAAATTACCCGAACACCGTAGAGATCGAGCAACATCTCTCTCCTCTACACCATGCCCATCAAAGAAGCGACTAGCATGAAGAGGCTCTCTATATACTCTATAGGTGCCTGCAAATGCATTTGGATGATCAATATCCGGAATAAACATATCTGAAATGGACATGTGGGGTGCAAATTGTAAAGTGTGGTCAATACCTGAGACGTGCATCGAACTCCGACATACTCGTGCCCTGCCTCCACTGGCTTGATCAGAATCTGGCAAGTTGAAATGGACATGTGGGGTGCAAATTGTAAAGTGTGGTCAATACCTGAGACGTGCATCGAACTCCGACATACTCGTGCCCTGCCTCCACTGGCTTGATCGGAATCTGGTAAGTAGTCCTAGTCGGCCGCCAACATATGAGCATAGTGGGAAGCTCTGGCCAATGAATAGTCTACTCAATATGGGAAACCCCTCTAATATGGGCCCTAGTTGCCCGAGTCGCCTCACCCGCCACAGGAGCCCCTGCTCCCTCGCCTGCGTGAGCGTCCAGCAAAAGAGGCATAAGGTGGGTCTGAATAAATGTTGTGTAGTCCCCCTCATCTCTAAAGAAATCAGTGTTTAGGCCTACCATGAACTAAATGACTGCGCCAACAGATAGGGTATCCATTATCCTCATAGATGCTGGGAGTGGCATTAGAATGATTGGATCAGGTAGGCCCACAATCTGGCATACGAATCTCTCATTTAAAAACCAAGCCCAGCAGACTGGGCCTTCCAGCAAAATTCGAAAGCGCGATGTGCCCCAAGCTCCCTCATACTGGTCTCTTACCCCGGCCAGCATCATGTCGCAGGGCTGCCACGTGATCTGCAAATAGAGAATGTACAGATTGTTAGTTGCCGTCAGTTGCCAAAGTGTAAATCAAAGTAGTATTAAAGAAAAAATGATTGTGAGTTGTGGGTTACCTCAGCAGCGACCACTGTATCAAAGTAATAGCAGAAGAAGGCGAAGGTCTCACAACTCTGACGCTGACACCGACTATCATATCGTCTCGAGTAAGGGACAACAAGAGGGAGCTCGTCCATAGGCTCTATCACCACCACCGATGCCTCCACTGCCACCACCACCACCACTACCACTACTATGACTCCCACCATCACTTCTACAACTATCAACAATATCATGATCTATATAAATTTTTTATTTATTTGTTATTAGCTTGTTTAAAAAAAAATAATAAAAACGTATTCTATTCCATGAGTTTAATAGGCATAACCAAATATGAGAATGAGAACTATCATCCTATTCCCATGTCATTCCATGTTGACAACGAAACAATGAAATGGGAATGGATATTCAATTCCATTCAACCTTGTGTTCCATTCTCATTCTCATTTTATTCCCACCTCATTTCATTCCATCGTACCAAACATACTCGTAAGTCTTGCCTCCCATTCTACTCGTAAGAGTGGAACCCATAACCTCCCTTAGGAGAGGCTTGGTGGCAAAGGGCTAGCTACACAAGCTACAATCCCTTGGTTATATATATATACACACATAAAGTGGAGCACTGTAACCAAGTTCCCATGTATCAATTTCTCATATAAAAAAAAAAAAAATTAAAAATCTCTCCCCCATATATCTTCTATCCCTCCTTCGTAAATATTTGCACTCTCATTATTATCCAAAAAACTTTATTAATAACCCTTCTTTCTCCCCCCATAAGAGCATCCCCAATGGTATGCTATATCACTAGAAATTGCCAAAATTTGGTAGGAGAACAACATAAAAGGGTTTTTCAACAGCAAATATGGCATTTGGTCACCACAGCAAATATGGCATATGGCATTAGTTATATCACTTGAAAGAGCAAGTTTGGTCACCACAGCATTTCTCTTGCCAAATTATGGCATTTCGGGTACTATGGTGCACCCAAATATGGGTTTTTCAACATAAGCAAATATTTCTAGAATTTCAACAAACATAAAACAATATTCAATATTCCAAAAACCATAAAAATGACATTCAGCATTCCAAAAATTTCTCAAAAATAACGTCCAACCTTAGTTTATCCAATACTATATGTCTTCCTTCATCAATTTATTGACGTGATTCTCTCTTTTTTTAGATAAGGAACTTGCACCATATAATGCCTTAGTGGTTTTGATTTTAAATCGGAACCAAATTGCCTTATAGCTTCTGTTGGCCCGAAACTGTCATAATTCACTATATTGAAAGGAATCCCAATGTCATATATCCATTTTGTAGTCTCAGAGCTTTTGCTCAATGCCAAGGCTTTTTTTAATATGAAAATTAGGGCTCAAAGCATGTGTTTACATTTTGTATAAAAGGGGTTGTGATTCCTTGTGGCTTCACACACAAAGAATAAGGATGTAGCCAAAATTTAAATGAAGCGCATGAAGCGTGCCTCTTGTACCTAAGCCTAAGGCATGCACCTCATATGCGCTATGCCTTTCCTACAGTGCCTCACTTCAAGCTGTCTGAGGTGCCTCAGGTGCACCTCGGTGTGCCTTGCGCCTAAGCATTAGGCGCATGCTTAGGTGCGCCTTTTAAGACACTGGGGCATCCATTTTTTATTTTTCTCTACATTCCTCGGTTTTCCTTGAAAAAAAAATTATGTTTGGTGTCACAGACCTTTTGGATGTGGAGTAATTCTTGGAGGTTACGACAGAGAAGGACCACAACTATACATGATTGAACCTTCTGGTATTTCATATGTGAGTTGGTTTTTCTCCTGAGTTGCTAGCTTACAGATTTGTCTTTTCACGTGCTTCCTTCATTTGCAGATATAGCAACTCTTGTTCTTGGCTACTTTTTTTGTTATGTTGTTTGGATGTGTTCTAATTTCATATGTTGGCTAAAAATTTCGTGATAGAGGTACTTTGGTGCTGCAATTGGGAAAGGAAAGCAGGCTGCTAAAACGTAAGTCAATCACAAGTTATTATATGTTGAGTAATCTCATTTCTCCTTTAGTACAACATAAATTTTATTGTGATATTGTGATGCATTGAGAATCTATCTCACTGCATGGGGTGGTCAAAATTATATCGTTAAGGCATACTTAGGGTTGTTTTGGGAACTAGCTGTTTTAGTTGACTTTTTAGCTTTTTACGAAAAGACATGCAGAAAAGTAGAGAGATGAGTTGACTTTTTGTGAATTTTTGACTTTTTGGCTGTTTTAGGTGGTTTCCAAACTTGGCCTTATATTAATTATTCTGACCACTGTACAATGAAAAATGCTAGGATTGATGCTATTTTCTCAAGTATCAAATATAATATGGACTGGGCATTGATTTTTATGGTCTAAATATTCTTTGCCTTGTCATTTTTTTGGTAAGATGACTTGTTCTTATTATTGTTAGATGCACGAAACAAATAAAAAAGATAAAGAAAGTATGTGCAATTAAACCATCCATGCTCACCAGTGAAATATTAAAATATCATGATTTTTGTAAAAAATAATTTTGCCTAAATATTTCATGTTAAATTTGAAATTTTGGTACATTTTCCCTAAAATCTTGAGCTTTCCAACTTCCAAAGGAGAAAAAAATTGCATATGCATAAATGCATGTATTTACTTCTGAGTTTGTAAAATTTACTATCCATGGCAAAGTGTCCTTGAGCAGCTAAACTTATGAGTTGAAGTCTTACAACATGAGTTAGTTACTAATAATATCTAGAGGGTGGGCCTTGGGCAGCAGTAAGGTTGTGACTGGGGTGGGGCATCACGGGTTCGTACAATCAATAGTCACATGCAGGGGTAAGAGTCTTAAGACTCTGCATACATCTGACCCTTCTCAGACCTTGCAGTGGCGGAGCCCGATGCACTGGGCTGCCCAGTTACCACTGAGATCTGTTGCTTCCATGTGAAGCCAGATGAAGACAATTTGTGGGTTGTATGTGTTAGATTTGCGAGAGAAAAGAAAGAAAGATTTTATTGATATTGATCACTAGCTATTACAATAAGAGGCCAATTTATAAGGTTATAATAAATTGTTAACCAAGAAAGCCTAGAGTGGTGATCAAGTAACCTAAAGAAATAGGAGAAACTAGGAAATATAAAATTTTTGAAAATTCTTTAATAGTAATTAGTTCAACCTCATATCGCTGATGTATTTGTTTTACTTTTCTATTGATTGCACTTCTCATATACTAACATGTTTATGCAATGTTGCTTTTGTTTAAATGTATTGCACAAACAGTGAAATTGAAAAGTTGAAGCTTTCAGATATGACCTGCAGGGAAGGTGTTATTGAAATAGCCAAGATGTGAGTGATTTCTCTTTTTAATGCATACTTTTTTCTCTCCAAACAGCAACCTTGATAATGTTGTTTTTACATTTTATTTGGGTATAAAGTTAAATTGGCACCATTAAAATATGTTGTTGATGAATCATGGGTTGAATTGTATGGACATGATTCAAAATCCAAATACACCAATCATTACTATGTCTTGCATTAAATTGCAAAACCCATATGCACAAATCTTTATAAAAAAAAAAAAATCGCAAAAATGTTAAAGATCCATCATTTCTTACATGGAATCTGTGTGTGTTCATGAGGGATGGTGAGAAAGAGAGCTTCTAAAAATCCAATGAAACCCATTTACCAACAGAGGTATGAGAAAATCCCCAAAATGTTTGTGTGTGTTTGATGAGAGATGGTGAGACAAACAGAGAGCTTCTAAAACAGAGAATAAAATATCTCCACTTCCCCTCAGCAAAGTCTAACTATTGACACATCTCGTAACTAGTAACCCTGCATTTAAAATAAAATACAAAACATAGACTAGATCAGTGTAACAAAAAGATTACAAATGTAATCTTAATTCAATAAAATTGAAAAATGAACCTTACAATTCATTAAAAATTTATAAAGAAAAAAAAAACATTTGGGGGACTAAACAAGGCAAAGATACAGAACACACACATACCTTTACCTTTTTCAATAGCTCCTTAGCAGCAGGATCATTCTTGAAATGATCACGTACAGGCTGCAAAGTACGAGAAATGTTAAGTCAATAACGATGATAATAAAATGGACAAAAAACAGTCCGTCATTGCCCGGTGTATTAGAATAAGAAAAACCATGATCAATCTCTACAGAAACAGGTGACATTTATTTCCAGACTAGGGAAACTGATTCCCCCTCTGAACAATCTAAGACAATGACACAGATCAATTTGGCAATCTGATTTTTGCACATACAAGAGAACCACAATCAGCCTACTCATCGAGGATGATTACTGCAGTCCATAGATGTTGTATACTTCCATGCCAATTTCAAGAGGAATACTTTGAAAGACTTCAAAAGAAATGCAGGAGTATTGGGGAGTATTACTACTTTCTTGTTTAATGCTGGTAACAAACAAATAAATTATCACATCAAATGCATGATTTTCCAACTTCCTTGTTTAATGTTGGTATTGGTAACGAACAAATCAATTATTACATTAAATGCATGATTTTCCATAAGATTACAAGCTATGTTACATGGACTCTTCAAAATAAATCAAATACCTATGTCGGACAACCAACACTTAGACAAAGGTGTGGAACGTGTCCAATACTCTTCATTGGACAATTCTTATATATTTATATTTAACACTAACATTATATGTATGTATTATTGTATAATTGTTATAAAATGTGTAAAATGCATTTTTGAATCTCACATAATTGATTAAAAACATAAAAATATGACTATTTTTTGCCGAGTCCACATACTCTTAAATTTGAGCTTTGATGGGTCCAACATCAAATATGCGCCCGCACCCGACACTCGTACCCAAGTCAATGTAACATAGGTTACAAGACAATAATGGAAATAGATAAGAGATGGGTCAATTGAGTAGAAAAAAGGTATGAAGGGGTGAATCAGCCCAAAATACTTCAAATTCAGAGCTGGATATAATACAAAAGATCTACAATAAACTAAGCAACAAAAATCATGGATTCAATATTAACTTTTAATTAAGGACTAGAGACCAGAGCGACCAAATCACCAAAACTAGCAACATGAAACCCGAGTCAGAGAGAAAAGAGCAGATCAGAGAAGAAAGAAAACCTGCAATATCTTATTTAATGCTTTTGATAGAGCAGGTTTCAAATCACCAGGATGCAATTGCCCACTTTCATAGTCTGCAACTAGTTCTTCAATATTGTTGAAGGTCCTAAATTTCAAACGCGCACACACATACAAAGACAAGACCATCAATAAAGAGCAATTATGGTTGAGATTTGAGAAGAAATAGAATCATGACACACCAGACAAACACAACAATCTGGCAATTTCAAAGAATTACAATGCTTTAATGGGTAAGTCAGAGAAAGCAGTGGCAATGGTATCAATATGCTGAAATGGGATCACAGACAACTTGCATGAATATATGAATGAAATCAAAGAGAGAAGAGTAGTTGACAATATCATTAGAAGTCAAAGATAACTCACTTTTCACCACCATTGTCAGGGCCACGTTCAACTTTGAATTCATGAAACCATGGGAAGATAATGTATTTAAGGTATTTCAGGCATGGGTTCCCTTCAACTACCATCGAAGGGCAATATGTCGCCTTTATCTTCAAATTTACTTCAGCCTGCCACAATAATTACATGTTACAATACTTTTATATAATGAACATGCACCAAAAACTAAAAATAAGTCAAATTCCAAATGAGGCTTTTAGTTACAGGCCAGTTCAACACTGAATTCAGTATTCATTAACAAAGACTGCAAAAAAAATGACTCCTTGACATTCCCTTTGTGTAGCACAGTATAATACCTCTTCATCCTCCATAAAGATGGAAGACGATGGATCACTTTTTGAAATCTTCTCTTGCCCTTGCCGTAAACCAGGAAGCATGTCTGCATGTCACAGTAACCAAGAGAAACTAACATCTGATGACAAGGAATATGAACTCAAGTAAAGTAGGAAGAATCATTATAGGGGCATACGGTGAGACAATATGATTGGCTTGTTTTTCCTCTTAATGTCATCTCAATACTCTCTCGCAAGGACATTCACTTTCTGCTGATCCATGCCCAGTTGACAGATATCAGCCTGTTGAGATTAACAGATTATTTATTAATTTGTATCATCAAAATGCACAATCAACACACCTCACCTATAAATCTATGATCAATTGATAATTATTATCTATATGTACAACTTAACCAACGGAATATCTTACAAAGTAAACTACAATGATACACACAGATACTTTAGCAAGGAAGTTTATAGTTGTCTCTACAGTCCGTGCTAATGGAAGTAATGACAGTTCACATTCAAACTAGTACCGCAAGATGCATATAAAAACATACCACAATAGAGCTTTTAGTTTCCTTACGTCAAAAGAAATCATAGGAAACAAATCATACATGTGAATGCAAAAACAAAGATACAAATTAGTTTTTCCTTATTTGGTCCTGCTCCAATCTTTTTGCAAGAAACCCTCAACAAGTTAATTATTATTCTCTTGGTAATCCACTCCCAGTCTCCCTTACCAATTGCATTACCAAAACAAAAACAAAAACAAAAAAGTATATCCCTTACCTGCAAAGATGGCAGAACCTAGGCATCTAAGAAGAATACACCCATACCACAGTATGAGTTGACAAAGATGTCATTACAATCACCTCAGCATAAGTACATTTCAATAGAATTAAAACATTATCACCCCTTGAATCCTACAAGATTGTACAATTGAATGAGGTGAACAAAGATCTTGCAACCATGGGTGGCTAGTTGAGAAGAAGAGGTGAAGGGGATAGGGGCATGAGGTTGGTTGGATTCCTTCCATAGCCAAATTTAATTATTGAACAAAGTTTTTGAAGGCAATTGCATAACATTAAGTGTTTTACCCCTTGTAAGGAATAAGCATTTCAAATTTTGAAGTTTTTATATTTAGTTTAGCAAATAAGCAGAATATTTTAAAGTTGTAAAAAAGTTAAAAATTAAATATAAATGTATAAATACATACTCTTCTCACTGAGTTGTCGAACATTTAACAGGAAAGAAAGAAGCTTGCCATCATTGAAGGTGAAATTATTTAGCTTCTCACTCAAACATCAGCTTTGTGCCTTTTTCTTTTTGCTGATCATTTACTTGATTTTTCTCATGGGGTATTGTTACAAAAGAGGTTATTCTTGTTATGTTTAAACATGTATACACTAAGTTTAACAATAGCCCAAGGCCAACCCTCCATATGCATATTTCTCCAATGTTTATAAGCAAAAGACGTACAAGGCGCAATTGACGTGCACACACCAAACTGTGATGCACAAGTCTTTGGAGAGTGTTTGAGGCCAGGCTCAATAATGACTTTTAAAACTTCAGTACTGAAAAGTGCTTGAGTCAGCAGCCCAAAGTAAATAAACCCATGATCCATAAGAATAAAAGGTACCTTAAGGAAAAATATATCAGCACATTGCATGCATGGGTAGAGAATTTGGGCTGCCGTTAACTCGTCCTACTCACTGCGACCCATAATATGGACACACTTGCAAAGGATCTAATGTTTGGTTGTGCCAAATGGAATCCCTATCTATGAGAGTAATTCCAATCTGAAATCTCCTACCTCATTATCCTAGGAAGCTTGTTCTTTGTTGCAATGTCCAATAAAAAAGACAAGTACTGATGTGCCCGGGAGATAATTTCTTCCGGGGAAAATTACAAACACCCCCTCGAGATTTGATGAAAATACAGATTCTCTTGAGGTCTGAGAAATTACAAATTGCCCCTGAAGTTAAATTTTCATAACAAATTAGGGGAAATTATGGGGAAATTTGTATGAAAATAAAAATATCAGGGGACAATTTGTTATGGAAATATAAACCTCAGGGAAAATCTGTATTTTCACCAAATCTCGAGGGGTGTTTGTAATTTGCCCTTTCTTCCGAAGAACATAAAAATTCCACTTTATCTCCTTGGAGATTTAACCCTACAGCTTTCCAAATCTCAATCATGTACCGTCCAACAGTTTGAATTTTCTTCAAATCACCACCAATTTTCTTGTTTAAAAATGCAAAACAAAAACTACAATCTAAATCTTGACTTTGCAACCAGCAGAAGTCAGTTTGTTGACACTAATTATCTTCATAACACCCTATTCAAAAATAAAATGAAAATAAGAACGCACCCAATCAACAAAACTTGTTACCACAGTTTGGAAAACCAACAATTGAGAGAAAAATTTCAACTTCCAACAAGGCAGGGGTAAGAGTTTGATTACCACAACAATCAACTTTTTCTAAACACAAATCAACAGATAAATACACATCTCAATGGACTGTCGGGAAAAATCTAAAATTAAAAAAAAAAAAATTGACACACTACAACTCAAATAATTTTAAACCAATATACTTCAATGATCTCATCGATAAATTCAAGATTAAACCCAAAAAATAAAAATAAAAAAACTCAAAGAATAGTCAATTCTAAAATGCAACAATAACTTTCTAATGACAAAGTGGTTAGCTACACATGAAGGGTCATTTAGGGTTTTGGGTAGAGGAGGTGAATTATGAGAAAGTGGGTGGGTATTTTTGGAAAGAGAAAATGACCAATAAGGTGCCGTGTGTCAAACAAAGCGGCTCATAGGGGACTGCCACGGGCCGTGTCCAATGCTATTGGAAAATGTCTCGTAGCTCAAATTTTGTGGCTCAAAAGTGGCTCAAATGGCCAAAACGACGTGGTTTTGGCCATTTGAATGTTGTTCTGTACTCAAAACGACGTCGTTTTGGTCATTTGAGCCACTTTTGAGCCACAAAATTTGAGCTACGTAGCATTGTCGAATGCTATTATTCGTTTTTTACTACTTACAATATAAAAATAGTATGCTAAGATTTATTTTGGTAATTGAATTAACTTTTTTTTTATTCTTTTTTAATCACATCACTTATTTGTTTTTTTGTATATTTTTTTAAAAATTTTCAAAAAATTTTAACGTACTTTTCAAAATAGGCTTATTTTTCAACATTATTCTTTATTTTACATATTTATTAATTTGAAGAGTTTCACACTACTCTTCAAATATAATTAGCTTACAAGAATCTTGTATTATTTCTTTAGATGGTTTACAAGAATGCTTGGTTTGGTTTTGGGAGAGTAGTTTTTAAAAATTGTTTTAGAGAGAGAGTTTAGAAATTTTTTTGATTTGTTTGATTGTGTATTTTGAAAGTAGTTTTGGAGTTTTGGAGTTTAGAATGATCTGATATTTTGTTATAATTGAATATATGTGAATGAGAAAAAAAGTGATTGAGAAGAAGAGAGGAGAGAGAAAAAGTGATTGATTGATAGGTAAGAGAGAGAAAGTGATTTTGAAAATTGTTTTAGAAAATTTACAAACCAAACAAATTTTTTAGAAAATTTTTCCCAAAATCACTCTACAAATCCAAACCAAACATTTTTTTTTTTTTTTTTTTTTTGAAGATTTGATAAAGAGAAAAAGGCTAGATGCAACTAAACTATATTTTTATTCAAAATTAAGAACATTATAATACTTTAAAAATGAATCATATCACGAAAGAATAAATTATATTCTGATTTTTAAAAGTTGAAAAATTTTCTATAGAGATAAATTATAGAGCGAATTGTGTGTAAAATTCTTCTACAATAATTTTGTTAGAATAACGACCGTACTAGTTAATTTGTTAGAGTAAATAAAATAGCATAAAATTAATTATAATAGGCAACAAATATTTTTTAAAAAGTCCCTTGGAAATGCTCTTTGAGATAAAATTATATGCCTAAATTAATTGTTTAAAAAATATAGTAAAAGTGAGTCCCAATTTTAGGCATTGATTGTTTTGTAAATTAGTGAGTGCATAATTATTGTAATAGATATGTTAAAGTTTATGAGAAAAAAATATGATTTATTTTAATGCATTTTATGGTAATGAAATTTAAAAATATTTTTGTTACCTTACTCTTTCTCTTTTACTTCTCTTTCTCCTCTTAAAAAAATAATTTATTTTTTTAAAATTCTGAAATCAAATTCTAAGAAAAACATATAAATCATTTAAAATTTTATTATACTCATAGTTTTTTAAGCAATATTTAAATTATGAATTTAAATAAAAACTTAAAAAATGTAAGAATAATGTAAATAAAATATGAATTAATTTATTTCCATAAATAGCAGCTTGTTTTTCACATTACAAATAGTGGTTGGGCGCAGATCCATTTCACATTACAAATAGTGGTTGGGCCCAGGCCAGATCCAAATCCGTGATAGGACTTGAGGGAATTGGGCCTTGGGAATTAATGATAGGATCTAGAAATGGGCCTAGGCCCAGTGGTTGGGTTGTCACTTCTATAAAATGGGGGACAATCTACAGAGCCCATGTGACATATCCATGTACTTTGTGCTTCCCACCACCTAAACAAAGCAAGGATCCTCTCCTTGCATCTCTCTACTTGGTTTCCTACTTGGTAGGTCATTGGAACCACTTTTGAACCCAATTTTGATAATCTGAATAGTCACATTTTAAGATTTATTGAATATATCATACTTATAAAAAATCAAATTGATCGGATATCAGAAACCACGTATTCGGATCATTGAACTAAAAATCATTTATTAAAAAAATTTTAATAAACAGTTTTATTTTTTAATAAAACTTTTAGTTCAATAATCCGAACACGTGGTTTCTGATATTCAATTGATTTAATTTTTTACAAGTATAATATACTCGACAAATTTTAGACGAATCTTAAAATTTGAATTGTTCGAATCATCGAAATTGGACCCAAGAGTGGGCCTAATGGCCCACTAATTAGGAAGCCAAAGAGAGGATCCAAGGAGAGGAACTAGACTCACCCAAACAGCCTCATTGTCAAAAATGATTTTTTTTTAATTTTATTACTTAGTGCAATACTCATAATTTTAAAATGTACAATTGCTCTCTCTTGTGACTTCAATTGGCTTCTGTAAAATTTTATGCGGCTCCATTTTAAGCAGGTGTCTCTTTATCATTATTCTC